AACGCCACTGTAATAATAATGCTGCAAATAATATGAAATGCACATGCTGCAAAAGAGAGTGTAACTCTTAGTGCACGAACACCATCTAGACTAGTGTATTGAGGCCACACCCACCAGGAAGTGGGATGGTGGACAGCACAGTTGATATGTCAGCGATGGAGATCTGAGAGATGTCGTCACTGGGGCCACACCTCTCTGGGAGAGACACGAGGCAGCCGTGTACGAGTGGGTGGTGATGGAGGGAGGGGGAGAGGTGGGCATCTGTTGGAGTGGCTCTGGGGTCTGTACAATAGTAGAAGTAGTGAGAGAGACAAAAAACAGGATATAAGACGGAACAATGGAATATGGCAGTACATAAGGGCTAAATCAATACGGCCCAGTGCAAGAATTCAATAGGTTTCCTTTAATACTCCCATACTCTCTTTAAAATAAGACGTAGCAAGTAAAGAGTTGTAGTGACTGACTGTCAAAGTAAGAGGTGTCCTCCTCTCCCTTGAGCTGGGGAATGAAGAACTCTGCCTTCTCTCTCAGCAGATTCTGCCAGTCCACTTCCTCAAAGAATGGATGATCTCTCACACCAGTATCACCAGTTTATTAGGTCAACTACTGCCAGATTCAGTGCAGTTTGCTGTTTTTTTTTCTCACAGCTGCTGTCAGTGTCCCATCAGGGAATGCTCTCTCTCTGGTGTTCTGTGACCAGGACACCATCTCCTTCACTAAGTACATCAACCATAGAACTGACTCCTCTCGTAGCAACTTCTTCTGTGCTGCTTTCACCTATAAAGCTAGAGACACTTCAGTATATACTCGCAAACCCACATGCGCTCTAATCTTCTTCTTCTTCTTCTTCTTTGTAACCTCCACTAAAGGAGAGTAGCCTATTGAGTGGGCAATGAAGATGCAGCAGCTGACAGTTGGTCGAGGCGGGCTGTGTAAAGATGGTGTAGGAGAACTATAACCTCTTGTTGAAACAGTGGGTCGTCAACCCACACGGTGCCGAGAACGTAGTCCACGAACAGTTGAGAGTCAGAGGGGATGAGACTGCGCACTGACGAGAGGGCGGGACACTGGGGAGAAGCGGTCTCAGCGGAAGTGGTACCACAAAGCTTGCATGTGTCGTCCGATCCGATACTAGTAGGCGAATGCATGGCATTTTTGGCGAGCGGAAGCGCGCTTACAATTGGGGTCTAATCGTATGAGTCACTCTTGTGTGTGCACAAAACAGTGAGATACATTGCACAGGACCAAGTAGGCCGAAACGACCCGAGCGCAGTAGACAATTCGAGTGGAGTCAAAAACAGTCAGTCGACAGCGCGAATCAGGCATAATCCGGCAATCTGATTGGTCTTGCAGGAATAGGGAACAAGTGGCAATGTAGAAAAATCTCTCGCTGGACTGTGCAGCAATACTCGATAGCTTCGGAGGTGTTGCGTTTCCCCTGATTCTGCTCGATTCAGGCAGCATTATGAAAATGTTGAAATCCCTTTCGGATAAAAAGAAGCGTGTAATGCTGGAGCATGCGCAGTTGGACGACGTACGGGTACATATAATACATATATAGAAAAATCGCGCCGTTCGGACCACTAGGTTAGCTCGCTTCCGCTCGCCAATTATGTAGCGTTCCGGAAGTTGGATGTTTCTGATTCCAGCCCAGCTTGAGAGTCTGGGAAGTCCGCGGCGCGGCCTAATGCAGACTAAAAGTTCACATGATTGCAGTAAATTTTTGGGTAGTGGCGCTCGGTTTTTGGGCGTGGCATAAACAGACAACGAGTGCTGTTCTTTCTTCTTAGTTTAGCAGGTTAGCCTGTAGCGCAGCAATCGGGATATGGCGGACGTCAAACCAGGAAGGAGGAGTCCTCATAGTCCCAGACAAGGGAAGAGATGTAAGTATGTACCCACCGATAATTCCTGGCCTCGACCTGTGTATGGTTGATCAAAGATGGAGCTACCAGATTCTCACGTGAAAATTAGCTGATGCTTACGATTATATACATTGAGATTGTATAGCCAGAAAAAAGTTACAATGTTACGAGAGAGCCACGCTAGCACTTCAGCCTTATAAACACACCAACAGCCAGTAATGATCTCTGCAGACTCCAAACATGTGTCACTCAGCAGAAGGAAGAGTCCTGAAAGCTCCAGGAGCAGGAGGGGAAAGAGAAGTGAGTGTGGACACCCTTCTTCTTTTTATGTGTGTGGCTTGCTGCTAAAAATACAGCACACCGTATCAGCGGGCATGTACATGCAGCGAGGGTTTACAGTACTTGGTCTGGTGTGTGTGTGTCTGTCTTTCTATCACTTGAGGCTATGAGGCGGCCAATGAGTAAGCTTCAAAACTACGCAATTCAAAAATAATAAAATCAAATATTCCTCAAACGACTGTGTTTGAGAGATATGCCATGAAAAGCGAAAAAGCCAATAAGCATATTGCTCTGGCTTGCCGCGACCTGATCTGCTCCCTCTGTGTACCTTGGATGCACAAGAAGTTTCAACACTTTGGGAGGTAAAATTAAATTACTCAGACAGAGTTATTGATAGCCCAGGGGAGAAAGTTTGCCCGGTATGTTAGAGGGGTTTTCACACTTTTTATGGCAACATCCTGCTGTTTTATAGGGAGTTTTGAATGTTTGGCTAATGAAAGGTAAAAAGGGCTGAGAAGAGATGAAGCATCAACTAGAGTGACCTGAATTAGTCTTGAATCAACCGATCTTGAGCACACTTAGACGCCTTTTTCCAAAACTCCCCGCCTAGCGAATCACCTTTAGTCACCATGATCTGCAACTACCTCAAGAAGACGCTCTCGACTGTGGCAGTGTGTGTGGTGCTCTGGGCTCTCTGCCGCTCGTCTGCCCCAAACACTCGACGATCTGCAGCTACAGCCAACTGCTCCACCAACTATCAGCCCGCCTCGGCTGCCGTGCAACTTGCAAACGGCTTTGAAGTTGCGGAGCATTTCACAGTAAGTTCAGTCCATACAACAGACTCAGATTCATATTTAGCAGAGAGAAGAACTCCCCTATTAAAACAATAGGTCCCCCAATGAACCCTATATATATGTGCCCATTTTCATATTTCTCTATGTTTACCCGACAAAATGTGTGTTTTTCTCCACTTTAGAAAGCTGTGTCTGCCCCTGGGAACATGACATTCTACACAACACTAGTCAGTCTGTCACAGATAGCTATCCGACTGGACAATGCCGTGGGCCTTCTCAATTCCCCCAACACCTCATCGTCTACTTCCACTCATACCTGCAAAAACAGCAACAGCAGCAGCAGCAACAGCAGTAGCAATGCAACAAGCAGCAGTAGTAGTTCCAGTAGCCTCGAGCTACGAGCTCTGTCTGCTGTTGTGAGCCAAGTTGTCAAGGATGCTTGCAACTATGTGAGTCTCTATACTTAATCTTCCCATCATATTAGTGTATATATGCAACTTACTCTATGGTCTTGTAATTCAATCCTTACATATTCGGGGTCTTGCCATATTATAATAGGCCCATCATTGATTCATCATGATCTCTAAACTTTGGATATTCCTCTCTATTCAGGTATTGGAGATCTCAACAGTTGACCACCAAGTTAACTGTGAGGACCTGAATGAAGTGGCCACCTGGTCTCTCCACCTCTACAACTCACCGAGAAGCCAGTCTCAACGCAGAGACTCGCTGACCATCGCTGAGGCGTATTCAGTTCACAGACTGCTGCCAGGGATATTCCCAGACGGCACCACTGCTGATCCTGGCCTGGTGAAACAGTGGGTGAGGGCCCTCATCCCAACCAGCCTCCAGTCCACTATCTGCCGTACCTCAATCGACTGTGCCTGTGAATAGGACTCATGTGCAGGGTTGTTACTATTGTCGTCTGGAAGCCTTTTTGTATCGCGATTTGTGCTGGCACTAGATCTCATCCAATTTATAATGTTGTAGTCACATTTTATTTCAATCTTTTCATGCATATTTATGATGAATATTAAAGTGTAGTCGTCAAATATTTATTTTTTATCTGCTTTAACTGTTACTCTAAAAACTATGAAAACCAAAAAATGGTCGTGAAAGAAAATCGGTACATTAATTTGGTATACTAGTGAAGTGTATTCTTCAAGAGGAGGTTTAGTATATACATAAGCGTTCTTTCAAGAGGAGATTTGAAAATGGTTTGTGGTATAATGCTGAAGTGTGTTCTTTTGTGACAAATGTTGGTGTGGTTTTGTGGTGTATTAGTGGAGTGTTCTTTCAAGAGGAGTGTGTGACTCGTGTTTATCTCTGCCTGTTTCAGTCTGATGACCTGAAGCGGTTCAAGTCTCCTTGCATCACTGCATTTAGGTTGGTGTATATATGCAATGGGAATTTAGCCCTGGTTTAAAGTGGTCACGATTGACGGTGCCTTTCCTGTGTATGTGTGTGTTCTCTGTAGAGATGTCCTCAGAGAGCAAGTCTTGCCCTGGCTGGGGCAGGTGACTGGAATACAGCTCACCACTCAAATTGACATCACCTGCTCCAAATATGAGTTCACAGGTAAACCCACCAACTTGTGGGGGAAAATTAATTTGTGGGCGCCATATTGCTGACCTTTTTTTGGTAAGACTTTTGTGCACTAGGTGAACTGGCATACTGTGATATTGCCCAACCTTGCTACCTTGCTAAAACGCTCGTCAATTGTTATATATATATATACGTGCCTGTATAGTCTCGTAACTTGTCCTCACAGATTACCTGCTCTGTCATGATGACCGGTTGGAGGGCAGGAGAATTGCATTCGTCTTCTACCTGGTCCAGGACTGGACACCTCTGGATGGAGGTCTCTTTATTATTTCACAGCTGTACACCAGCGTCATCACTAGAGATTCATTAGCCACGAAACTAGCAGGAGCATGTGTCAGCAATGAGGTAACAAGGTAGAAAGGCATAGCAAAAACTAAACCCAGGACAGCTCCTATTTTCAAAGGAAAAAGGAAGGGCTGTCCTAGGTGGGATTTTTATTTGTGATGTGATTTTGGTGGTTTTTGTTTTGTTGTTATGACCCCTCACGCCCTCCCCTACACTGCCTGCTTTCTAGGCGAGCACTCGAGTGCACAGTAGAGCAGGAGAGCACATGAGTGTGCCTAGAGGCTTGGGAACACGCCACTACTGTTTAAAGTATTGTTGCGAATATTGCCCCGTGCACACTGCCCAACCACGTTTGTGGACTTATACACATGTTTTCTTGTATGGTATCAAGAACTGCACAGACTAGAAAACAGACTACCCAGACTTATGTAGCATTACAGTTACTATTTATTTCTAGGTCATTTGGAGCTGTTTTATACTGACGGTGAGTATCTACTGCAGTCTATAACTCAAGCTGTAGGCAGTTGTGAAGCAGTATGGGAGATGGTATATCGTGTGTCCGTATATACAGAGAATGGCCACCCACATGAGGTGACAGTCTCCATTCCTCCAGTGTGGAACAACTTTGTCTTTTTCGAAGTCACCCCCGCTCCTCTCCACCAGTGAGGTCACCATTTGCATTGGTACATAGCACTAGAGGTTGTGCTTCTTCAACAGCCACTTTTTTGAGTCTATATAACAGATGCCTGCAAATGCCACCGTATAACATTCGTGGATTGAAATTGTGACAGTATTCAATTGGTGCCCCACATGCTTAGCTATGTGCCAACCGCATTACAATAAGTTTTTCTGCTAACTATACTCTATCCATAATCACAGCTTTACCATAATGTCCTTAGGTATAGTGAAGCAGTGTCTGCCATCAATCACAGTTGAGATTTGTGAGGTTGTATTAAGTGAGATGAATGTAGATTAGACAGACATTAGTTGATGGTGTGCTGTAGGTATCGGACGAGTGCTGCAGCTCTATGAAGACACGTCTCTCTAGCAGTGGATGGTTCCATGGACCTGGTCCCAGACCATTACCTAAACTCCTCCCACCCCTCCCATGACTCTCCCATCCCCGCTGATGTAACGACACATAGTCTCCACTGTAAACCATCCATATACCTTTGATCTACTGTACTGTCGGAGATGTTTAGAGCCAGCTTGGTCGGTCAGGTAGTCGGTAAGATTTTGTGCAGTAGAAAAGCCTTCACATGTATGTACTGAGCTGGACAGTGAATTTTTACTATAGGAACAGTGTCTGTACGATGTCACTGGTCAGTTGGCGGTGTTGTCAGCAGTGGTGAGTCAGTTTCACTGGACATTGGTACCCAGAGCCACATACCAGTCACAGTTTGAGCGTGGAGCTCTCAGACTTGAACTACTACCAAACTCCTCACTGTATGTATGTGCAACCTGCTTGGCAGGTCTACGAGAAGATGTGGACCCACTGTCTCTCTCGTAGGCGACTAAGTATGAACGAGTGATGTGCGAGAGCTAGTGGGGCAGCAGTGCATCATGGACTGCAAGGGCCTCAAATAAGAGTATGTCTGTGGTACTTCTTACTTCGTCTCAGTCAGCCAAAGTGAACAAGGCAGAATATAGCAAGGATGTTGCCTACTCTCTCTATACAGACGTGTGCATGTGGCAGAGGAGAAGAGTTTGCCTCAGACCACTGCTGGCCTCCTGGAGCTGCTCCACACCGAGCCATTCTGTCTCCTCCTCTCTCACCTCACCGGACTGGACCTGGCCAAGGATGTCATACGACTGGACACACAAGGTGGGGGCGGAGATGATGATGATGATGATGGGGAACCCTGTTCATCTTCTTCTTTATTGTCTAACTGTAGCAATGGACATACCTTGGGTGAGTTATATACCATGTGGATTGTGACGGGCTCAGGCACTGATCGTACCGTAATACTTGCAAAAACACATTCAT